GGTGGATAATGCAAACGGAGCAAATTCTTTCATTAATGTTTGGAAATCAGAATGAATGCCCAACATGGCTGGTGCTCCATCTGTACAGACACCTATTAACTTTGACCACTGCAGCTCGTTTTCATCGAAAAATGTTTTCACTGTTCAAAAACATCTTCCTCGCCTGTAGTAGTGTTCAGTGATTCTGAGAATAAGCATTATTTTTTTAACCCTTAACTGGTGAGGTGATAACATTTTCCTGGAGGAGGGGTCTACCAGACGCAATTAAAAATAAAAAAAATTGAAAATGTAGCATTTTTTTATTCGTAATATCATCTATTAATACACTTAAAGATCTTTAAATGACGTTTTTACTGCAAACCATCAAATTAGGTAAAAATAATATTTCTAAAAATGCCACTTAAAATTTATATTTTCAAATTCTACAGTTGAATTTTTTTATTAAGCATGCAATACTACAAATGCTGAAAAAAATAATAATAATAAAAGTAAAAATTTGAAAGTTATGTGCAGTTTTAAATATTCCTTATTTTTTCTGTTCACATTCTGGGCATAAATTGACTCGACATATTATATGAAGCTCATCGTATTTAGATAGAAGTTGTAAAATTTGTTCAGACCCTCGTATAATATCAAATTAATTATTTCTTTCGTACGGTTGGCAACACTGATTAAGTTTAAAATTTAAAACCATTAAATAAAATATTGATATTTTATATTAATAGGATTTAAAATGTGTAGAGAATTATACAAAAAAAAAAAAAAATCCAAGAAATTCAAAATAATGTAATATTAGAAGTATTATTTGAAGGTAATAAAATTATATTAGGACATAAGATAGATACTCCCCATAACATTAACAACAATATTATATTATTGTTATTATTAATTTATATTTTTATTTTTTTTTATAATTAAATTATTATTAATATTATACTATTATTATTATATTATATATTTATTACAATTACATTTAGGCTGGCAACAAACTATTTTTCGTCAATTTTTTTTAATTTACCTATAATTTTTTGATCCTTTATATTCAGCTCTTCAAATCCCGGTTTCATTATACAAAATATGTCTCCCCAGCATTTCAGTCCGAGTATGAATCTACTAACGTCTTGTCCCATAATAACGGCCTCTCTTCTACTGATGTTATCAAAAGATTAACGTTCGAAATATCTTCTTCAAGAATATACATTTTTTTTCATCCATTGAGAACATTTTGAAATTGATTGACATTGCAATTTGACTAGTAGCACAAACACGATTACTATTATCAACGATAAATAACAAACTGTCTGACTGTCGCGCGATTATTACGGCCAATGTGAGGCCAGTCATTTAATTCAGTGCATATTAACAGGAAATACCTATCGTACGGTATAGTCAGAGCCGCATTTAAGGGGGGGGGGCCCTGACTACAACTGCCCCGGATGCCAGTTTTTTGAGGGCGCCAAAATTTTGTGGTCGGAAATTTTCTCAATTGTGAATTATTGAACTTTTAAAATTATATTGAAATTATAATTTTTTTTTAACAGTATTATAAATTAATGTTAATGTATTTCATTTATTAATATATATATATAAAATATTAGTTCCCAAATTTGTTGTGATAATGTCAATAAACATAAGTTATTTATAATAATTCGGCGTATTATGTTATCGCGTGCGGTGGCGTGCCTACTACACAAAAATTGCATTGATTTTAGAATATCTAAACGGTTTATGATGATCCAGCTCCAATATTTTCCGTGGATAGGCCCCTTAGAGGGGCATCAATTTTTTTATTTTTTTTTGGCCGGGGCGCAAAATTACTAAATATGGCACTGGGTATAGTCAAGGTGCACGCGACAGTTTTAGAAATATCGCGCCATAATTTTACTGCGTGACATTCGTGTGTTGTGTTCTATTCATTTTAATGTACTTTAACAAAACGCGCAGTAAAATAACGCTAGTGTGTTATCAGCCTTACAGTCATAGTACACATGACTAAATAAATAATTAGTACTTAAAATTAAAATAAATAGTTTAACATTAACCTCTCAAAAAATCGTGTTTTATTCCTTGGCAGGGGCGTATTTAAGGTCCGGTCAAACAGAAAGTGGACTGTTCGTGCGGCCAGGCCGCTAGTCTGCTGCGGGCGTGTACACTATTTAAATACATCATGCTAGTTAGTTTAACAGACGGCGGCCTACCGCGGCAGACAAACTGGTTGAATTTTTTCACAAAGTTCGCGGTGGACTCGAATAAAATGTATACCTACATTATACATAATAAAAACAATATATTATATTTTAAATATAAATTATATTATATATAGATAATATAATAAAAACATTATACATTATAATAATAATAACTAATAATATTTTAATAATTTTACTATACTAACTAGTCAAACAGTGGCGGCGCGAAATATTTTACTTCATGAGTCCTGTTAGGATTTTGCCCACCCACTCACCTAAAAAAAATTTAATGTTAGCTTGTAAAAAAAGCTCCCTTTTCTCAAATACATATTTACGAATACCCACTCGATACCCAATTGTCAATATCCACCCACTTACCTACCCACTGACTTGAGTCCAGGGACTCAAAAATCTGCCGTCACGCCGCCACTGTAGTTAAGTATAATATTATTAGAATCAAAATTCTTAAAAAACTTCAATTAAACTAATAGTAAATTCTAGAAACTATCAATGATATTAATAACAACATCAAAATAACTTATTTTGATACAAGTAATAAAGAAAATATATAATATTGTGTTTAAGCTATAAATTGAAATGAAGTACTTCATTTAAAACTGAGCACCGAAAAAGAACGATAGTTGATGAAACCGAATGATTGATTGATCTTGTGTGAGAATGCATTTATTTGTATGATAACCAGATTATAAAGATGTTGTTAAAAGCCATTTTCTTTTTTTTCTTCTTGCCTGACTTAAAGCAAGTTGAAGAAGCAATTCTTCTTCTTCGTCGGAAGAACTGCTTGACATTTTATAATATGAAAACAGAAAAGTGAAAAAGTAAAAATAAATAACCAGCATTACACTTTAGTGCAGTTTTCAAAATGATTCGCTTAAATTTTCCGATTTCTGATTGACAGGACCTTAGACTTAACCTAACCTTGGATTTTCTTTTAGGAGGAGGTGATTCAAATTTTTTTTTTAATTCAGGCACAAAATGTACAAGTAAAATTTTTGTAATATTTTAATCAGGTTGATCCTTAATATTAGTGTTTTTTTTTTTTTTTTAACTAATGCCGGATCCACTTTGAATCGACTTTAGTGTGTAGTTCTTTTTTAACACCTGTCTGTGTTTTGAAAGTAACTCCATTTTATTCTATTATAGTTATGTCATACAATTATTGATTATATTAGGCAGCATGTTTATTAGGTTAGGTATGCGTAATAACAAAATTTATAACTTTGAATGGGTTACATTATGAGATTGTGATTTATGATATAGAGGTTTGATTAAAAGAGTTAAATGCTGATGTCAAAACTCATAATGGTGTGTCTGGTGTCCTACTCTCATTTTTTGCTTGACATTGATCTTGAAAAATGTTGACTTTATGTTTTTAAAATCATCTTCACTATATCACTTAAAGCAAGAAAAGATTTACTTTTTATGTAAAGGGTGTTCGAACATAGGGAAGCTATTGAGAAGAGTGTATTATTATATTTGAAAGTGATTATCATAGCATTCTAAGAATAATAAATGGAGATAATTTTATAATTTACAGCTTTCTTTTAAAATGTATATATATAATTGTATATATATATATATATAATTGACTTCTTTATTGAATATTTAATTGATAAAAAAAATATTTAAAGTGGAGTTAAATATATTCTTGTGAGTATTGTAGCAATAAATTGTACTGTTGTAATATGCAAACTATAACCAATATTTTGATTCATTTCTTAAATAACTTTAAATTTATAAATAATGAAAATTAAATTACTGTACTAAAAAAAATAATTAATTTTTCATCACAATTAATTTAAAATATAGTTTGTTATTAATAACTAAGGTTCAGGGGATATATTCTACACAAACTGTAGGAAATATGCATCTCATATGCACTTAAAATAATTAAAATATGCAACTACATTTTTTTATAATAGAAAATTAAAAAAATTAATTTAATATGATTTTTTAAATTTTAAATGAATATAATTTTTTATTCAGTTAGTTTTGGCAATAAAACTCTAATAAGTTTAAAATTATAATATTACTCTGTATGATCAAATTCTTTTTTTTTTTTGATTTTTTCCTTTTACAATGAAATAAGGTTTAGTATTATAAAAAATGTAATAAAAAAAAATTGTTAACCTTTAGAATGAATTCATTTCACATAAAACAAAATATAAAAATAAGTAGTAAATATATTCGAAATAACTATTAAAATTCAAAAATCTATCTAATATGTAATTTGCCAAAAACTGGGCAAAATATGCAAAATTATCCAATGAAAAATCTGTTGCCAACTAATTTATATGTTAGCTCTGTTTTAAATATTTTATAAGTTAAAAAAAAATAGTTTTAATAGTACTTCTTAAAATGATAGATAAATTATATAAATTCTATAGCCCTCTAATTGATAACTATTAAAATTGAAAATCTATGTATAAAGAGGGATGTAAAGAAGTTCAATATAATTTTTAGTTTATAAGGGAGCTCTATTTAAAATAATTTTAGAATATAATTAAATGACAGACTACTTTTTTATTTTAAAATAACACACTATCTAATACTTTATAAAATCATAAAAATGAATATAATTTTAAATTATAAAATAAATAATTATTAATAATAAATAATTTATATATGTACTAGAAATTTAAAAATGTTAATTATGAAAATTATGATTTTTATCTAAAACAGAAAAAAATTTTATATATGTAGAATTGCTTATATTTCCATGAAATACTATTTTAAAGTTATAATATACAATATAACATGTTTATTAATAAATTAATATTTTGTTATTAGAGGTAAAACAAGAATTGGAAGATCTTATGGTGGATATAAAAAAAACTGCTAATAGAGTTCGTGCCAAACTCAAAGGTTATTTGATATTTTAATCAATCAATTTATATTATTTTGAAATAAGTGAATAAAAATAAAATTTTATTTTATTTAGAAATTGAACAGAATATAGAAGCAGAAGAGCAATCGAACAAATCGTCAGCAGATTTAAGAATACGCAAAACACAACATTCAACATTATCACGTAAATTTGTTGAAGTTATGACCGAATATAACCGTACACAGACAGATTATAGAGAACGTTGTAAAGGCCGAATTCAGCGGCAATTAGAAATAAGTAAGAATTTAGTGACTATTTTATACTAAATTCTAAACAGGAAACTTGATCACATTTACCCAAAAATAAATTGTTTGAGATTAATGATTAAATAATAGATCTATTATTTTTAACAAATAGGTAATAATTTAAAATGTATTATTTTTTCTAATTTATTTTATTTTGTTTTATTTTTGCTAATTAAGTATTATTAAATTATAGCGGGAAGAACAACTACTAATGACGAACTTGAAGAAATGTTAGAACAAGGGAACCCAGCTGTGTTCACACAAGGAGTAATTATAGAAATAAATTAATATTAATAGTTTTTTTTAATATAATTTAAATACTAGATAATTATGGAAACACAACAAGCTAGACAGACATTAGCTGATATTGAAGCCAGACATGCAGACATAATAAAATTAGAGAATTCTATCCGAGAACTCCATGATATGTTCATGGACATGGCCATGTTGGTAGAAAATCAGGTATATATTTTAAATATTTTACAAATAATATTTAGATTCTGAGTGAAGGAAGGAAGTGGTTCATAGTGGGCTCATAAATTTGGTTTATAAATAGTTTTCTGGTTTTCCTATAGGTTGAAAATAATGACAGAAATTTTACTTTTGGACTTTCTCACTAGTTTTAGAAAAATATACCATAATTGTACTTCTTATATATATTACAGACATAAACTTATATGTATATATATATTATATAATAAAATTATTAGTATAATTTAAAAAATAAATCTTTAATAAAAATAAATAAAGTAAAAATGTTGATAAGAATATAATTCTAATTAAATATTCAGTTTATAAATGTACGATATCATTAAATTACCAAACCAACACAATTAAACCAATCTGAACTAAAGAAATTATAATTTCTTAAAATAAAAATTTTTTTTAATTAGAGTTAAATAAACTTGCAAGACTTAAAATAATTTTACTATTAACATGTAAATTTAATCTGTTTTATGTAAATAATTTTCAAATTAATATATTTTTTTGTAAATGATTAATATTGAATTTTTTTTTTAAATTTATACTAAACTGTATTTCTCTCAACATAATTGACCAAAAGTAATAAATAATAATTTATTTTTAAAAAATAAATTATAATATTAGACTTTGTCTTGTTATGGAAATATTTAAATTTTAAGTTGAATCATTATCAAAAGTAAGGTAACTTGATATGTTTTTTCTCTACATATTTCATTAACTCTCAAATTTTAATATTAAAAACAAATTAATTACATACACATAGTTGACAAGCATGATCGAAAATACTTTTAAGTATTATTGGATTGTTCATTTATCTTATAATTACCTAATATATAAAAAGAAATATAATCTATTATTTAAAGTAATTAAACAAGTTTTTTTTAATATCTATGAAGTAATTTTTTGTTATATGTCTAGAAATTATGAAATAAAGTTAGTTATAATAATTTAAAAATGAAAAACAAAACTAGGGCGAAATGATTGATCGAATTGAATATCATGTTGAACATGCCGTGGATTATGTACAGACGGCCACTCAAGATACTAAGAAAGCATTAAAATATCAAAGCAAAGCGAGAAGAGTAAGTCAAAAGGCGTAGAAGTTTACAATGGTCCCACTCGCTTTGCTGTATGCATTTATTTGTTTTTGTAGGTTCATATGTTTTATTAAACATTGGTTTTTTAGTTAGAGAAATTAAGTAAAAAATATTAGTTTTTAGTTTGTAAAAAAAAATTGATTTCCATATAACTATTATTTTTAAATTAATTTAAGTATTTTATAAATACAAATATTGACATGGTCATAATTGCAAATCAATGTATAATGATAATTTTATATTTTTATTGATTTGGAAATCAATTTATTTGTATTTTTATTATTAATAAACATTATTTTGTTTTGTTTTTTCCTTTTTAAAATATTTCGCTTAATTTTGATTTTTCTGTTTTTGTGTGAATAATTTTGGGTTTTTCATATTAAAATTCCACATTTATTCCAATCTTGCTCCATTTGAAATCGTCCAAAAAAAAAAAAAAAAAAAAACATTTAGGGTGAACTTATTGATAGAATAGAATATCATGTATCATTCACTGTTGAAAAAGTAGCTGATGGAAAAAAAGAGCTACATGATGCTGATGAGTATCATAAAGAATCACAAAAAGTAAGTTTATACAAATTGAATATTTTTTTCAACTTAATATAGTAATAATAGCGATTATTCAAAAATTATAACATAATAAATTAATAATAAAATAATTAAACATATACACTTTAATTCGTGTATACTTTTTTATTTATAAAAAAGTATAGATGAAAGATAAACAAATGGGAACCTTTTTTTTTTTTTTGTATAAATATATTTTTAATCAAAATATTGCCACTTCAGGATACAATGTAATAAAAAGAAAGGCAAGTTCATTTGTGTCCATTCTATTATTAATTATCTAATTTGAATTTACATTTTTTAGGATAAAAATTATGGTTAATATTATTTTTGCTTTTTATTAGTCACGTATTTATCATATTTAACAAATTATAGTTAAATGCACTGTTTTATTATTTTTATTTTTAAACACTTTTTTTTTTTTTGCTTATGCTATTTATCAGCTTTCCCATTTATGTTTTAAATAATTAAAAAAAGAAAAAATTAATTAATTTATATTGATACTAATACTTAATTATTGTTTTTAATATATTAGAAGAAAATTATGATCTTGATATGCTTGACAATTCTCATTGTTCTTCTCGGCGGATTTGTGATGAGTTTCCTTCCCAAGTTCCCTTAATATTTAAATCTACGTGAAAACAAGTAAGGATATTTAAGCTATTTGTTTTAAAAATAAACTAATCGTACAGTTTAATCAATTTAAATTATTCGATAGGAGCAACATTTTGTTTTATGTATTATGATATCTTACATATGTGTGTATATATATATTCTTTAAAAAATCATATTTTTAATTTATAAATACATTTGTGTTTAATTATTAAATTATAAGGTATTGATTATAAGGTTTAATTACATATATATATATTTTTTATAAGCTCTAATAATCAGTCATTTATAAGGGCAATATATAATAAATTCAATGTATTTCATATTTTATGACTGGTGTTTTGCTGGAATTGGTTATTGATAAAATATTAAAGTTAAATTATTATTATTATTTTTTCTTTATATAGCGTGTTATGTTATACATTTAATAAATGTATGCTACACAACTATTTTATTTTCACAATTTATTATTTATTAAGTATAGTTAAAAACTATGATACTTCATATGCTAGAAAGGAAGTTCTATTTTTTTTTAAATCTTTGGACTAGATTATTTGATATTTGATATCAATAATTTATTGATATAAAAAAGAATTAATAAAATAAAATATTTAGAATTTTTGATTCATACTCTTATATAAATATAACATATGATTATTTTATTACTTTATATTAGCTTGATTAATTTGAATAATTTACAGAGCAATTTTTTGACGGTTACATCCGGCAGAGCAGTCACTCAATACATACTAGTTCTTCGGCTTGTAAAGACTGGAATAGTGTACGAAAAACAATATTTAATTAATTTTATTTATTTTATTTTATTTCCTTTTCCTGCCTCTAAAAGAAAAAAAAGTCCATGTGATTTATTTAATATTGCTATTTGTCCTGTTTTAAAAGTAACTATTAATATTTATTGTTTTTAAAAACCTCTTTCTTAATTATTATAGTTATATTGTTATTGATAAAATTATTAGATTTTTAAAACCAATTTATATATATAATAATTAATTACTATTTATTATTATAATATAGACATTCATGTGATAATTCGTTAAGATATTCGAAAATGTTGGCTTCCTCGTTTTATCATTTTATAATTTCTGCAGTGCAATGCGTAGGCGAATTGGAAATAATGTCAATTTTTAAATAAAAAAAAAAAAATAGTTGTTTTGTTCTACTTAAGTATTATTCAGTTTATGCTTTAGAAGGACTAATGTATTGTATTAAAATTGATTTTTAAATTATTATTTTTAATATTAGTTATAGTAAATCCCATAATAGTTTTAAATAAGTAAAAGTGCCTTGGAGTATATAGCCATCAAATACCAACAGTAATTTAGATATTAACGCTTATTAATATTCGAAAATGCGTATTATTGTCAATATTAATGTACATTATCTATGTATTATTATTGTTATAATTCTAAATTTAATGGTTTTTTTAAGTATTATTTTTTGATTTGAAATCGATATTTTCAGTTTTCCTTTACCTTTTAATTGAAATAAAATGATTAATAAATAAACTGTTGGAAATTAATTAATATCCCTTTAAAATTTCAAAAAATGTTTACATGATATATGTTAATCCAAACATATAATTTTTATGTCTCAATTTACTACAATTTTAACATTTAAATGGAAATCGCTCAACATATTATATTATTTATTTCTGAGAAATATCTTTTTTTAAATTATAATTTTAAACACATCTTGTTCGACACCATAATGATCTTCATCTTTTTTTTTTTTCCTGTGTAAGAGTGTTACCTATTTTTATTTTTAATAACTACTACTAGTATTTTCGTAATTAATTTTTTTAAACTTATTTAACATTCAAAATGTAATTTTAAAGATATTTGGTACTATGCTTTTTTCTTGATATTCTATGTTTTTTAGTCACATTCGTTAATACAGAATTTTTTTACCATGTAATTTAAACTAGATAAAAATTAAAATACAACTTTAATGTAAATACATTTAATTATACTATACATTTTTTGCCATTTTTCTGTTATTGTGTTCTAATCAAATTACAAAAATAATAATTTATTCAATTTTTAGAAAAAATAGACTATACATTATATATTTCATAACTTTTCACTTTTATTTGTGTTTTTGTTTTATTTGATTATTATTTGTTTAATGATAAAAATGTATACTACATTTTGAATCAGAAAACACAATTTTATAGTTTAGATAACTTTTTTTATAATTATTATTATTATTATTATTATTATTATTATTATTATTATTATTATTATAGAATATTACGAGTAAAATATAAAGAATTGTACAGTGAAAAATTGTTTCTTGTTAAATTTGTTGATCTTTGCCTATAATTGTAGTGAAGATACTAAATTTTTTTTAATGTTTAAGTGTTAATATTGTAAAAATAGTGCAATTTAAGTCTTTTTAATAAAACAATTTGTTTTTATTAGTTATTAAGAGAGCATTTTATTAAATGATACAGAAAATCATCATTAAGATTTTTTTCTTTTTTTAAATTCTTACAGCCTAAGTTAATATACAATTAGTACGTCAATTTTTGTTTTTAATTTATTTGTAACTAAAATAGGGCCATGACAAATAGTTTTTCTTTTTGCACATTTAGCTTTACAATAAATTCAATTGAACAATGAAATTTGATATTTGAAAGAAAATAATGTTAGTGTTCTAATCACCATTTACCCAATGGGCACTTAATATATTCCAATGTCATTTTTCTTTTGTCAATATAACTTGTACTTAACACAGCAATTTTGTGTACTTTGTTTTAACACATAGTCCATCATATTTTTTAAACAAAATCATACTACCTATTTAATTGTAGTTCTAGTAACATTTTAAAATGTTTTTCTGTTTTACTTGAAGTATTTAAATTTTTACTATACATATTATATTTTTTGTATGATCTATATAGTTTAAAGTAAAATATTATTGTAGATTTTTTTTTCTATAAACAATGTTGATTACTGGTCATTAAAAAGTAAATTTTACTTATTTACCATTGTCAGAAATCATGATATTGTATTTACTTTTTAATTTTATCTGATAATAACTCATTATAAATTAATATCAAATTGGTAATAAACTCGTAATAATGTATTAATTTATTTGTCGTTATTAATGTAATTGTATTTCAGGCCATTTATCACATTCTCAACTTTATATATTTCTCCCACCCGTTGATGTTAATAATCCAACAAAATATTTATAATTTTTGTCTGTATTTTTTAGATTATTAAATATTTTATTTTGAATATACCTCTCCCTATGATTCATCAATTCTTGTATTCTTACTTAAGTATGAGCAGTGAAAGAAACTTAAAAATTAATTACCTGATAAAAATTGTTTTAATTTTGAAAAATACTATTTTAAATTAAATAACATTATTACAATTTAAAAAGTATGAAATAAAATTTAAAATTTTGTTCGATTTTTTAGAAAACCAAAAAATTATATTTCATTTATACATGTAAAAAAAGAACAGTAAAAAAAAAAAGTGGCAAAGGAGAAAAAGAGACATTTTTAGTGGGCTGATACTGAATACTTTGGACACTCGTACAGAAAAGTCAAATTGTAAAGTGAAGTAATTGCACGTAGTATTAATTTGTCACAAGAAGCTTTTTGAAGTGTCAATATGGTCTGTGCGGACCTTTGGCCAAGAAATGGAATGCAAGCACTGATGGTCAAGAGCACGTCAAAGGATTTTGTGCCCTTGTTTATATTAGGAAGTATGGCGAATGGAACTTGGATTAGTCCTTTGAAGATTTGACCTACATAGAATGTTAATTGTGTATTTTTGGATTAGGCCTTATAATTTGAATTGTGTTGTCTATGTGTTATCAAAAGAATCATTATTTATTTATATATAGTATTTTAAATTATCTAATGGTTAACGTCTTTATTTTTTTAATGTTAAAATTTAACATTTTTCGAATTTTCTTTTGTTTTAATTGGAAACTTCTTTTTGAAAATCCATTTTCACAATTTAAATTTAAATGTTATATAATTCTATCGTTCTAAGTAATAAACATATATATTAAAAAAATTTAGCTTACTATAAAAATGTACAGTACTATGGAATTAATTCATGAATTATGATATGTACTAAAACTTAAAATATATTTGGGATTTATCATTCATATGATTTTTATTAAAAAAAAAAAAAAATTAGACCCACAATAACCTTAGTTAAATGTATTTTCATTGTATTAGATTTTATTCTAGCATGTCATTAGTTTGCTACCTCTGGAATTTGATAATGAATACTACAAAGCATGCCAAGGAACAGAATAGATTTGATCTATTTTGTGCCTCTATTATCTATGAACTTTGATTGCATGCATGAAATTAATGTAAGTAATTGTGATAAATAGATAATTTTGAAGCATTTACTGGGAAATTTTTTTTTTTAAGTTTGAAAAAGTTGTTTTTCATACTGTTTACTATTTAAATAATTTATAATTTACCTTTTATTTATCATAAAACGCAATAACAAAGCTATGTACCACATTATTTTAAAATGTTCGGTGTTATCATCATAAATATTTTATCCTTATTCTATTTTTTAATTTACATTTTTGAAAACCATGGTTTTTAAATTATTTATGAAATCATGAATTAAATTGTATTCTTTTTTTATAATAAAAAATAATTCTATTTTTTTGACCTAAGGATTATTAGCTTTTAGGAGACATAATAAATATATAATAGTAACTTAAATTTTGAGTGTAATATAATGTAGATATATAATTGGGTTATACTATGAATTACTTGAGGCTTACTTTAAATTTACAATTTAAATATTCAAAACGGCTAAAGCTTTGTTTTATACGTTCTTAAAATGTTATTATTATCTGTCCTACGCATAGTTTAGATCAGCGATTCTCAATATTTTTGAGGCTAGACCCCCTACAATGTCACCAAGATTTTGATAGGCTTTTATATTATGATAACATTAGAAAGTAGTAATAAATTAATATGATTATTATAACGTTTTTGTGGTAATCCTAAACTTTTATCAATTGTAATTCTTATCAATGATTATCATAATGATGTTAATATAAACATCTTGCTATACTTATTTCATACTTATATATTAATAATTATGTTAGTTATTAGAATTATGTTTGTAGACAATTATGTTTTGGGGCTATAGCATTTATTTTTAGAATATCTACTCTTATTCAACTATAATTAATACTACGAAGTTATTTTAATATAGTTTCTATTGAATATGGAATATCCTCATAGTTACTCATAGTACATGATATTATCATGTATATATTATATACTAGTATATAGTGTACAAAAATCCTAATAAATTACTTTTATCATTAATTTAAATGCCTTCAATTAAAAAGGTCGAAACATCCGCGTACTAGGGGCTAATCACAGGTAGTGTACTAGTTAGATCCCGGATTTTTATAGGTACTACACTGGTTGGGTCCTGAATTATTTTATGTATTACAAT